ACAGGCATTCCTGCATTTCTTTTGATATCTTTTGTTGAGGACAGAAACTGAAGCCACTCGGGGGTACTTATGGAGCCTCACGCCTCAGTTCTGGAAATAGAAAAGATTTAGTGTCTAGTCAGTACCCATTATTTATAATCAAAATGTACATGGGGAATATTCCCTGCGCAAGCATGCACAGAAGATTCAGAATGCAAAACTAAAGAGAAATAGAAGTATCGCTTTCAAAACTACTGTACTAAGCCCTGTGGAGATTACTCTGACATTCTGTTTGTCTTATTTCACTATAAATTTCTTTATCCAGAACTATCTGATGCACAGAAATGGTCTCTTTTCAACATGGTTTATTTTGTCACTCTAATTTACTTCGCAATGCATCTTGCTGTGATCTGCACATGGGTCTGTGTTATTACTGTTCATTAGCTGGAGGAAGGAGGTAACTTTTCTTTGGATGTTCTTATGTCAACACAGGTCATAGTAAAGCTGCAGTTATCTGTCTAAGGTTCTTATATGCCCTCCCTTTACCATTGTATCTGAGAGCACCAATCTTTACATGTATTTATCATTGCACAGCTCCATGGACACAGTGAAATGCTATTATCTCTGCTTTAAAGATGTGGGAGCTATGGAATGGAGGCTTAGTGGAGACGTGCCTTCCCCCCATGCATGCTAGAAGCTTGCAGGGTGCAAGTGCTCATGGAGCCCAGCCCCAGCGGCTCTGTGAGCCTGGGTGGGCAGCAACTGGTAGGACAGTGGGGGGATTGGGAGAGGTGGTATGCGCTGTGCTTCAGCTCCTCCACAGATCAGTCTTTCCAAATGGCAGAGACCTATCCAGGGAGACTACTTAGCCTGCCAAAAGTCACAGAAGTCATCTGTGACAGAGCAAATAATTCCATTTGTGTCTCCTAGGTATTGTGGTTATCCGTGTGTTCACCTCTAAAGATGCCTCTTATTCCTTTTTTTATACAGAATAAGCCATACTGGCACACACATTTCTTCTGGTATAATAGTGCCCACCCCAATAAATTGTCCTTCAGTTATGGTGGTAGAGTCAAGGCAGAATAACTTCTATGTGTGCAGACAGATCAGGGTTTTTTTAATTACTTTGCACTGTGAATATGCAAAATATAAAAGTAAACATCTCTTGACTAAGTAGAAAATAATGTTATATTTCCTTTATGAAACCCTTGGGACTATAAATGTAGGGCACTTGAATTATTTCTACAATGCTTTTAAAAATGATTTGAATGAAAATGTACGTTATATGAAAGTGAGGTGAACAGTTCTGGATAGAGCTGGGCATGGAGGGTTGTGCATTATTGCTTTCCCAAGGAACCACCTTGGCTCTCTCAGTCTTTTGGACTCAGAACAGCTCTGAGAATAGGTACATGGTCACTGAACATCCTTTGTCGTTCCTGTCCTGTTCCTGTACTGAATTGGCTGCCAGTGGTGCCGTGTGTTGTGAAGTAGATTGTATAAGGTTGAGAGATGTCCCCAGGGTACTGCAATGAGCCACATACCAAACTCATGTTGATCTGTCATCTGCTCAGGATTTCAGCACAGGTGAGAGACTATTTCCCTTGCTGAAAGGCCACATTAACCCGCTGCATTGCTCAGCTCCCTCTCATGTACTACACAAATCTCATCACATATTAGTGAATGCCTAACAACACAGGTACAAAACACTTCAAATAACAGACATGTCCTGTAACTCCTAAAAGACCGTGGCTTGCCAAGTTGTTTAGGTGCTAGCCTCAACTCCTGACCTGCGTTCAAATGCAGAGCAGCCATTTTGTCTTCAGGGTCCCCAGAGCCTTTTTCCCTGAGAGGAAAAGTCTTGCTTGGTATTCTTTTCACTGGGACTTTTGTTCTTTCCTTATTTCTTATTTCCTTATTCTTATTTCCTTCTTTCTTTCTTTCCTTATATTTTTTGTCACACTACAATAAATATCACACTAACTCAAAGTCCATATTGGCTCTGTTTATGTGGGAAATGTTATTAATAGCAGCCCCACATATCTGTAAAATCAGTACAAAGAGTTGGGTGGTAGTGTCAGCCTAAACTGTCCTTTTCTCTGTTGTGTGGATGAACTGAAGCTTTGTTTCTGGTTCAAGCGCTGCCAGCTTAGCACCATACCCAATCCCAAATTTGCTTAATACTGGACAGGGAAAAAACTGACACAAGAGAAAATCCTAGAGAAATTCAAGATGACTTCAGAGTTTCTCACTCAGCTGTGAGGTGCATTGTCAAAGTTATTAGGCCAAAAAAATTAATCCTAGCTGCTTTTATTTACAGCTGGCTTAGCTGGAGGGCTGTGGTGAGCAGCTTAGAGGGGAGGCTGCGCATCGCTGCCCGCAAGGGAGCTGGGTGGCCTTTCCCGCAGCTCAAAGCGGCAGCAGAAATCCACAACAAAAGGGACTGATCTCTCCCGTAGTAGGCAACAAAAAAGGACTGACAGATCTAGCCCACGTGCTTATATTTGAGTTCTCCGTACATTCTGGACTCGGAGGCAGCTTGCAGTGTATAATGTCATTGCGGCATTACGCTTAGCCCCCATCTATTCCTGCTCATTCTCGATGTTATCAGGAAGATATGCTTAAAGTTATCAGGAAGATATGCTTCAAGTGCGCGCTGCTATGACCTTTTACATTATTACGGGAATCGGAACCGCCTTAGCGCCTCATGTAAATTCCCTGCCGGCTGCAGGAGCGGCAGGGCTCGTCGGGGTGCGCTCACCTTTCCTCCTGGGACCGGCTTTCTCGCCCCGACGCGTTCCCACGCGTTAGCCCCGGGACAGCGCCCTCCCTCCAGGGCA